AATTTAATTTAATTCATACAGGCCTACCTCATGTTGCACGTTTGCACTTTTTGAGAAAAACAATGGCACAATAAAAAAATACTTTTCAGGTCTATGTCCAATCCCTCGCCTTTTCTAGTTATATAAGGTTAAAATATTATGCCTGTAATTTTTTTTTTCTCATATCGCAATATAATATCGATATCGCCTGGACAGTGTAAAATATCGTGATATGAATTTTAGCTCATATCGCCCACCCCTAATTCCTACCACTTGTTAATTCATGCCTACGACTTATTCATTTGTGGCCATTGTCCATGTTTCATTAATTTGTTCCCTAGATAACCCATGATTTAACTAGTTGTCGACCGATATTGGTTTTTTTGACAGCCGATGTCGATATCTTGGAAAGCAGGGTGGCCGATATCATTTTATTTAATATTTAAGAAATTTGAAAATGGATTAAAACAATAAATGTGTAAAATAAACATGCTTATACTTTAAATGACAAAATATTTTTCACAAATAAACAAATATTTAATACAAATATAATTAAAAACTTTTGTCCGTGGATAGAACTGTTAACGACGACAGCGAACAAGAGGGAGAATGTGAGCGGTGTGTGCTCGGGTGCTGCCGCTCTCAGCGCCGTCAAAATAAAAGTCCCTCCACGAAACAGAAGAACTTATCGGCCGATGCAGATATTTGAAAAATGCCAAATATCGGCCGATATATCGGCCTTGGCAATATATCGGTCGACCACTAGATTTAACTAAAATGAGGGAACGAATTAATAGGTCGTAGGAACGAATTACCTTCAGAGTTATTAGCATTGTGAATCTAGCAAAGTTTATTTATATATTTTCATTTTTAAATCAAATTTTAATTTAACATGCATTTATAAGACCATACTTTATTATAAGTTGTATTACCTTGTCAGTAAATGTCATAAAACTAATTAACGATGCTGCGTTGGTGGCGAATTTGACATCTTTCTCTCTCCTGACCAATGAAATCAATCTCTTGATATTTTTTGCTCTTTTCTTAGGCCATAGAAACACAATAGTGGATTTTTCTTTTGCTATTGCATCAAATGAGAATACAAGTTTTTGTTTTTGTTTTAGTTTGCATTCACCGTTATAGAAGTTTACAGACTATGATGACTTCTGCTTTGAGAACCACAGAAATGTGAAAAGAGTCCATTGTGTTCTCTGTGAAGAATACATGTGATGCTGCCTTAGAAGAAGGTGCTTGTAAAAAACAGAACCTTGTGACGCCTTCATAGGGCGCTCACTACAGAGTGATCACGATCAGGGTGTTTTCTAGTGAGTCACACATCACAGCTCATGTTAATGTGTTGTGCGGATCCAAATTGTAATCTACAGATGCACACATATAAAGTGCAATAAAATAAACACTTAAATGTGTGTTTTGGATGTTTTTTTCCACTAGAATGAATGAAGACATATGGAAGCAAAACAGAGCAAAACTGGCCAGTGCATGTAGTGTTTTGCCTAAAATGGTTTCATTCTAATATTCCAGGTTGTCTCTCATTCAGGAGTGTGCGATATTGACAAAAAATAATCTCAATATTTTCTGTGATTTTGTCGATAACGATAATTAGAGTGTGTTATTGTGCTGGTATCTTAAGGACTGCCGTGGACAGCTGACTCCTAAAGTTTTTAATATTCTTCATATTCTGTGTGATCAGTTCACACTGATAGAAATTAATCTTTTTCAATAAGTTTAAACTGATTTTTACATTTTATGGGCATTTTTACCTTTATAAAGCCATTCTTTCTAAAAGTGTGCATTATCTTTTGAGTCAAATTCTTACATTTAATCAGTGAATTAGAATAATAAGACATTTGGGCTGTTAGCAAGCAAATTAAATCAGTATTAATAAAATTAATCTTTGCAATGCAGAGGAAACACAGAAGCTGCGTCTAAAGAGGCATTTAGATGTGTTTACACACAAGACATGAATGCATTTAACCTGCATTTACAGATGCATAAATAATGTTTTGATATATTAAACATAAAACCTTGAATACTGTTATTTGAAATTATTTAAATTAAAAAAAAAGAAACTTTAAATGTGAAATAAACCGCCAGTAGGTGGCAGCAAGTCACTGTTTAGGGATTCACCGAAATGAAAATTCTTGTCATTCAGGAACGAATCACTGTCATGTTGCTCAGAGACGCAAAACAGTGCTGTAGCTGTGTTTGGAATTATTTTTGTTGTTGAAATAGCGCAGAAACAGGCAATATGGTGTCTAAAACGCAAGTCAGTTAAATTACTTCTTGTTTCTTGAACGGTTGTAAAAACAATCAATGTTATATTTGTTATCATGGAAATTTTTGGAGATCAAAACGTCACTTTGTTTGGTATTGATTAACTGTATGAAATTATATAAATATACACATTTTCTGTCCCCATATCTTGAATTTTGTGATCATTCTAAATGCATTTTATTAGACTGAATCATGCAGTGAAAGAAAGCACTTTAAATGCGCACACGCACTAGTCTAGACTTCACATAATGTATGCATGCGCTCTGTAAGGATGTGTTTTGAATGGTTTTTGCAAAATACTTGATGTCAAATCACACATCATTAAAACAACAATTATGATATTATGACAGACGATATATATCACACGAAGTTTATAAATGCTGATAAGAGTATTTGCTTTTTCTCAACTTTTATTTTGGCGGAAATGCGCAGGAAGACCTCAATGCTTATTTTTGTTCACAACAGATTTATAAATGAGTCTCATTTACGAATACGTCGTACGTATCGCATTGTCACGTGTCATTCTAAATGCATTTTATTAGACTGAATCATGCAGTGAAAGAAAGCACTTTAAATGCGCACACGCACTAGTCTAGACTTCACATAATGTATGCATGCGCTCTGTAAGGATGTGTTTTGAATGGTTTTTGCAAAATACTTGATGTCAAATCACACATCATTAAAACAACAATTATGAGAGAGAGTGTTATTGTTTGTGTGCATGTGTGTGTGAGAGAGTGTTATTGTGTGTGTGAGAGTGTTATTGTTTGTGTGTGTGTGTGTGTGTGTGAGAGAGAGTGTTATTGTGTGTGTGAGAGTGTTTTATTGTGATGTTTTTATCAGCTGTTTGGACTCTCATTCTGACGGCACCCATTCACTGCAGAGCATCCGTTGGGTATAAAATGAACAATTATCATCTTAAGGATCAAGGCAAGGCAACATTTTTAGTTTCTAACCTAATCCACTCTATATTTTATTTTATTTCATCTTCATTTGAAATGAATAAAAATGTTTGTAATGGTTTTAGTGGATGATAATAAGGTCACTCAGAGTGATTGGCTGTTGCTGGTGTGTTCGCTCCTTGACCGCCGCTGCTTCACGTATATGGTGATGGAGTATTGTGTCTGTGGAATGCAGGAAATGTTGGACAGCGTTACAGAGAAGAGATTTCCAGTGTTTCAAGCTCACGGGTGAGACGCTCAAACACCAGACATCAGATAAACACACACTTCTCTGAAAACCAGTGTCTCTGTGTATCGCTGTCGCCACTCTGATGCATGTTTGATGGGTCGTACAATTTCCATCATGTCTATTTTTAGCCTCTTGATATTGGTTTTATTTCTGCGTCATTCCATTTGTATATGTGACCCTGTAGCACAAAACCAGTCATAAGGGTCAATTTTTTTAAATTGAGATGTATACATCATCTGAAAGCTGAATAAATCAGCTAAACATTGATGTATGGTTTGTTAGGATAGGACAATATTTGAAAATCTGGAATCTGAGGAACTATTTAAAAATCTGTAATCTGAGGGTGCAAAAAAATCTAATATTGAGAAAATCATCTTTAAAGTTGTCCAAATGAAGTTCTTAGCTATGCATATTACTAATCAAAAATTAAGTTTTGATATATTTACGGTAGGACATTTACAAAATATCTTCATGGAACATGATCTTTACTTAATATCCTAATGATTTTTGGCGTAAAAGAAAAATGTATAATTTTGACCCATACAATGTATTGTTGGCTATTGCTACAAATATACCCCAGCGACTTAACACTGCTTTTGTGCTCCAGGGTCACAGATGTAGATTTGTGTGTGCCATTCGAGTTTGTTTTAACTGAGGTTAACTTGCCTTACAAAGCAGTGGCCTGGTTTAGACCTGAAGTTTGTTTTTCAAATTCTAAGATGTTAAAAAGATTTAAAAACTAAGCAGATTTGAATCTAGCAAAGCAGGTACAGTCTTCATTTTTCTTAAAGAGTTTGAGAATGTTACATTAAAATGCATTAATGTATCACTGATCGCTGAAGTGATTTCTAAGTGTTTTTGCTGAGCTTCTCTGCGCTGTTTCATATCAGTATATCTCACAGTAGTTCTTAGGGCTGGGTAAAAAAAATACAGATTTCTCCATTTTAATCAATTCTCGTTTTTATGAAACTATAGCGATTCTTAAATCCCAAGAATGGATTAGTCTAGCCTGTTTTCAGTTAACGAACGGAGCATTATAATAGCGCACATCCCGTCCAATAAATCAATAAGCTTTGTTACTTTTGAAATGAAACAAAGTCTCAGATTTCAAATTGTGTCTGTTTTATTACAGTATTCAAACAATGCACGCAGTTTTGAATAAATCCGTTACGTTTTTATTACAGACACCATTTAAATGTTCATATTTCAAAAAACGAATTGGAGAATAAATATATTTATTTAATAGTAACTTAATTATTATAAAACTTCATTAAGTGTAATTTAAGCACAAATCAGTCAATTTTAACCTTCAGTATTATAGTAATGTAGTACCAACTGACTCTCATGCATATTTTACAGCATTAGTTTGTGCTTGAGTAAAATGGGCATGCACTGTACCAGATATATATCCAAAATAATCGATTTTGAATCAAATCAGAAATCGAGTCAAATTGCAAGCTTGTGAATCAGAATCAACTCCGATTGTGAGATTTGTCCAAACCCAGCTTTGCTGATCTGCTGGTCTTTCACACCTGATTCACACGTTTGTGTCTCTGTTGTTCTTCTCTCAGGTACTTTAGCCAGCTCCTGGATGGTCTTGAATACTTGCACAGCCAGGGAATTGTACACAAAGATATTAAACCAGGGAATTTGCTGCTCACTACAGACGGGGCGCTGAAGATCTCTGACTTGGGTGTAGCCGAGGTGAGACGCTTTTATCAACACACTGAGCTCATTTAAACGATTAACCCTATAAATCCTCATTTAAGAGGCTTTTATGCCTCATATAGTCTGATATACTAAGAATATGGAGGGAAAAACACCTCACTCGAACTGAGCAAACATATGCAATTTGCTGCAGATGCTAATATTTCTATAATGAGGTGCTTGTGATGTAAATCAATGAGGTCTTTCTAACAGTGCAGCAGATACTGACATAAACTGATCTAAATATCAGTGGTCGCTCTATATCTGCAGTAATCTGTCTCAGTAAGATGAGATTGAAATGCTCCAAACATATAATGCAGTGATTGAGAGCTGAAGAAATAAAGGCTCCTCAGAAGATGTGAGATGTTCTGGAGGCTTGTGAAGATCATTCCTCCGCTGAAGAACAGTGAAAGTAAAGCTTCTGGAAACAAACGCTCCTCAAAAGATCCTGAGGATCAGATTTGAGACTCTAAAACATGATTGATGGAGAATCAAGTAAAGCTGAGCTGCTTCAGTCCAGTAAGTGTTCATCTGGAGATATTACTGCAGTTATTCTGACCTTTACTTGATCAAAATCAGTCAAGATTTGACACGAGAAGCAGCAGCTGAAGCTGGACGTTTGTACAATTACACTAAAAGAGCTTTGACTGGATAAAACACTCTAAACTATCATTCGGAGACAGAAGACATGAGGAGATCGAGTGTGAAACAGCCAAGTTTGATCGTTGATCATTCAGAGCTTTAGAAATCCATTTCCAGGTATAAAAAAAGAAGGCTTTAAAGGGTTAACACTGACACTCAGTAAACACTGAAGGAGGACACTCGTACATGGACTCAGTGTGTGTTTGTGTACAGAAACATCACTGACCACATGCACCTTCTGTGCTGACTCTTTGTGTTGATCTCTGACCTTTGACCCCCAGGCGCTCCACCCGTTTGCGGAGGACGACACGTGTCGGACGAGTCAGGGGTCGCCAGCGTTGTTTAATGCAAGACATGAATGCATTTAACCTGCAATTACAAATGCATAAATAATGTTTTGAAATATTAAACATAAAACACATACTGATATTTGAAATGATTTAAAACATGAAAAAAATCTAAAATAAATGTAATCATGGTAATTTTTGGAGAAAAACGGCACTCTTCGTGTGAAATTGAATAACTATATGAAGTGGTATAAATATATAAATTTTCTGCCACGTCTTGAATTTGTGATCATTGTAAATGCATTTTAATAGCCTGAATCATGCAGTGAAAGAAAACACACTAAATGCGCACACGCACTAGTCTAGACTTCACGTGATGTCTGCGTGCGCTCTGAAGGGATGTTCTGAATGGTTTTTGCAAAATACTCGATAATGTCAAATCGCACATCGTTAAAACAACAATTATGATATTATCGCAGACGATATATATCGCACACCCCTAGTTACATTAAATGATTTGGGGGTTTAACTATATGGGAGTGTAAATTAGACCAAAACTGCAGAATGGAAAAAAATATATATATTAATGTTTCAATCCTCAAGACCACAAAATGTACAGGAGCTGGAAACATATTTAGACAAAGTTACATATGTGCAAACTTCGCTTTTCTCCCAATCTGCATTGTCAGTATAGGCTCCCAGTGAGATCGACCTCTAGAAATAATTTAGTTGTTTCGCTGAAAATGTTGGCGGATATGTTCATATCTTATTTTGAATCATAGAGAGAAAGAACTACAATCCCATGAAGCATCGCAAATGATGTAATTGAATTAAAAGTGAGGACAATTATGAAACACAGAAAAGTTGTTGATTATATCTGTAGAGACAATATATTCTGAGTTCATATGCATATATTTAAACACATTTATTCCTCGCTGTGTCTTTGATTGGTGGAATTTTCTGCACTGCATCATGGGTAATGTAGTTTTCCCACCATGACTTCTGCTGCCAAATGCATTTTAAAAATAAGCCGTGGAGCTGAACAGAGATTGTCTGATGGGTGTTTTCTGACGTGGTTTAAGCCGAGAGCTGTGTGTCTCTCCTCACAGATACAACATAACCACGAGCCTGTACCCGTTTGAGGGGGACAACATCTATAAGCTATTCGAGAACATTGGGAAGGGTGACTACACTGTTCCTGAGGAGTGCGGCCCGCTGCTCTCGGACCTGCTGAGAGGTGAGCGACGAGACGTGCTCCGATCTATTTGTGTAGAGCATTTCACAATGCACACGCTTCACAGAGACTATAGTGACTTCAACAGAGAGCAGTTGTGACGATCTGAGCGGTCCTCTGGTTTGAGATCTAACTGTATTGTGTTTATAGTGTTGTCTAGTGCATATTAGCAGTGCTGCAGAGCAATTAAGACAATTAAACGTGTGATTACAGTACTGAGCAGCTCTAACGCTATTAAATTAAAGATGATGTAGCACAGAGCATAAATTAACAGTGGAAGCAACTAAAATTTAAAAGTGTGCAAATAACTGAAGGATATATCTATTTGATAAATGAAGTTAAACAACTAACATTATACATATTCTTTTGGTTTCTGTACCCAATATTTAAAAAATGCACAAATACAATGAAAAATACTCTGTATCGGCAAGAACCAAAAATATAAATGAATATAAAATAATTCATTTTGCTAAAATATTTGGACATTAAATGTGTCTTTTGTAGATTTTTAAACCTGCATATAAGTGTATTTTTACTGTAAGTGGGTAAATCAAATGTAAGTTAGTACAGTACTAATTACTATAAGCTCAAATGTGTTAATGTGTGTTTCTTATAGCAGTTAAAATATAGTAATTTTCTTTAATGTTTATTCAATTCAGTGATTTTAACTTTTAATTTAGTGATTTTAATGCTTTAAAGAGCAATTTTAGATTGTAATGTTCTGTTGTTTTGCTATCTGTTCTGCAAACTATAAAATTTACAGCTGGCATAAAACCAGAGAGAAAGGCTGCATGGCTAGAAACTGTAAGAAAAAAAAAAAAAGACATAATAGTATAGTAAACTAACAGGATGTTTTTATAGTACGACCTCTTATGTCAAAAGATCAAGGGAATTTTGGTTTCTCAGTTCATGAAATAAGTGAATAATAATATAATATATATTATACATAGTATAACATGTTTTAATGTCAGTATATTTCTAAGATTAAATGCATTCTGAGTTCAAGATAAAGACATTCAATTCTAATTGAGGCCAATTTCTTAATTAAACCTCCTTTCCTTTATTGTGCACAATGAGTATTGTTTTTCATGGCTGTGCTGTAGTTCATATGTTTGACCTTTAGATGGCGCCGTGACATTAATGTTCAGCACTGATGCTGGATCAGTCTGTGTTTGAGAGCTTTATTATCACAAGCTCAGAACGAACACTCACACACACACATACACACTCTCACTCACACACTCGCTCGCTCGCTCGCACGCACGCACACACACACACACTCACTCACTCACTCTTAATTGTTACATTTTATTGTATTTTCAATAATGAAAAAAAATTTTTTTGTTTTCGTAAACTCTAATAACTCTGCTTCAGATGATGTCATCACGATCGGTCTCACGGGTCATTTCCTCTTCCTGTTTAGCTGGGTGCGTAAGAAACACCCGCCCTCGGAGCCTCCCGTGCCCATCCCGCCCAGCGCAGAGACGCGCGACCCGTGGCGCAGCATGACGGTGGTGCCGTACCTGGAGGATCTCCACGGTTACGCTGAGGAGGAGGAGGATGACGAGCTCTTCGACGGGGAGGATGACATCATATACACTCAGGATTTCACCGTACCAGGTGAGCGGGGCACGGGGCGGGGCTTAGTGAACATTGTGACTCCACCCACAATTGACTTTCAGCTCTTAGTTCGTATTGAACTGCTTGACCAGCTCTGATTAGTGTGTGAGTGCGTGCGTGCGTGCGTGCGTGCGTGCGAGCGAGAGTTTGTGTGTGTGTGTGTGTACCTAGTCATAATTTGGGCACAAATTTGTACCTAGAAGTGATTTTAAACCTGACAAAAACTTATTTTAGGGAGTCCTTGATTGTAAAAATGTTATAAAAATAAAGTAGATTATTTTTCAAAAAAATTTTTTTTTTGTAAATTTAATTTAAATAATATCACATATATAAAAATACAAAACTTCTTTTTTTAATAATTAAAAGTGCATAGAGTTTTCTGTTAGGGTTAGTGTGTAGGTTATGATTGGGTTACAGTATTTATAACTAGTTGTATATGGAAAATAGAGGTCTACTCTATAGTGCGTGTGTGTGTGTGTACCTGTTTTTCTATTCTGGTGGGGACTTAAACCTGAATACACACAGACTCATGGGGACTCGTGTCACGGTGGGGAGCTAAATTGAGGTCCGCACGGGTAAACAAGCTAATAAATCAAAAACTATATGCAGTAGCCTAGGCTACGCTGCTTTCATAGACGCACACGCACACGCATTATAGCACACGACAACACAGCACGGTAACTTGTATTAGTAAAATAGCTTCGACAGGCTATTGACTCGCAACTTTATATTTCTCTGCAATGAGGGGGTAAAATCGCTGTTTTTGAAACTAAGCCTCATTGCTTGTAGAGAGAGGCGCGCAGACGCAGGTTCACACACGCAACTTTCATCCCTCTCTCTCTCTTTCTCTCTCTCGCTAATTCAAATAAATGATATAATTAATTAATTCAAATAAATGCGATCTTACC